TAGCCTGATGTCGAGCCCGTTGCAGAATCAAATATAGCACTTGATGATCCCGCGACCTCCCGCATAACACTTCAGCCAAAAGGTTAACATTAGTGCAATAAGAGAAAAATAAGAGACTCCGGGATATCACGCAATCGCACCGATCGTGATACTAATATCGTTGTGGACTTTGTACATTGCAAGTTGCACGTTCCATACGAAGCTCACCATCCGGTCGCCACGTAAAACTTATCTCTGTGGTCAGATAAACGTCCAAAGAACGAAGTGTCTACATATGACGGAAACAATGACGACGATGAAGGGATTAGTTGTGCGATAACAGGCATCTTTCTCACGGTCAAACACCGAGGTATATCGTCCGGTGGAGCTGATGAGACCCTGCGGTTGATCTCACCATAGATTCGCGACACATAACCAATCCCCCTGTCGAATTGGTCTTCTCGTCGCGGTCGAGAAACGCGCCTCGCAATAAGGCCAACAGAAATCGCGAGTTCAAATTACTTTATATTTTCTCTCCTCTTTCTTCCCGTGCTTGCCCGTCGCGACGTCTAATGAAAAACGAACGATCAGGAACGATTACCTTCGAGTTTCATACGTGAGTGCATTATAGAGATTCTGAAAAAAAAAGTAATCTCGCGACTATGTTCGAACTGAAATAAGCGGGAAAAATATGGCAAGCTAATGTCTATGATAAGCGTGCACGTTATCTTTCTTTTTACTTCGATATATGGAGCTGATTATTTACATAAGGCAATTACGTGCCTTCCGCGTTTCCACTCGACAATAACATCTACTTTCGACATTAACATTACTTCGACGAGAAAAGGAGGAGGGTGCCTAAGGCCAGTTTTTGGCACCCTCTGAAATTGATCCAAAAATATCAGAAACGTTATATTTTTGTAAGATCTATTGAAATAAAGTGATTTTATTCTAAATGGATATATTTTGATGCCTGCTTATACTATAATTCTAATTAATCCTATTTTTATCACCAACTCTTATGTTACCTACATATCATCTCCTTACATTTGTGTGTGTGTGTGTGTGTGTGTGCACGCGCGTGCGCTCGATATTGCAAATGTACTTACAAATGTAAGGAAATGATATGTAGGTGACATAAGAGTGTTGGTGACAAAAATGGGATTAATTAGAATTATACACGGAAAAAAAGATTTGGTTGAATTAACCAAATATCTGGTCGAATATGAACGATCCAGAAATTCCGAATTGAAGTAACCCGAATTCTGTTTAAGCTAACAAGATTTTTGGTTGACTTAAACAGAATTCGGGTTACTTCAATCGGAATTTCTGGATCGTTCATATTCGACCAGATATTTGGTTAATTCAACCAAACCTTTTTTTAGTATAAACAGGCACCAAAATATGTCCGTTTAGACTAAAATCACTTTATTTCAATAGATCTTACAAAAATATAACATTTTTGATATTTTTGGTTTAATTTCAGAGGGTGCTAAAAACCGGCCTTAGGGACCCTTCTCCTTTCGCATTATGTATGCAGCAGTAGTGTTAAAGTTGGAATGACGTCGTTACGATTGGTAGCACTATCTGACGCGGTAGCTTGTCGCACCTAATTATTATAAATTCATAAACACAGGAGAACGGGACACGAGCCTATTAAAAATCAATATCGTGCTCTAGCATTCTCCTTGAATATAAATCGACGGATTAAATCTATATCTCGCGATATCTTTGCTTACTTTGCGGGAATCAACATGTTACGTAATACACAAGTAAACGCAAAATCATGCAAAGTGCAGAATTTTAATGCAGGCAAATAACCAGATAAAAAAGCCCGCAAATTATGATAAAGAGTTGCAAACCCAGTCACACAGCTATTAACAAATATCGCTAAACGGTAACAAATTAGCGATAACATTACGATCGCTCAAATTCCTCGTAATGTCGTCCTTCAGCGAAAACCGACTGAATTACTTCTCTAAAAGGAGAAATGGCAAAAATGCTTGAGATACTCACGGAGTAGTGATGTTCTGCTTGACATGCTAAGCGTGACTATGTGACGCGGGAGAGTTTAATCCGTGGAGTCTAAACGGACGCATTACGATATTCTCGATTCAATAAAAAAGAAAGATCGAGATCACGCGTTTAGTTATTTAACATATCACATGATACATTATCATACAGTACTGTATGAACTAGATCTAACTACGATCTATTTTTTACTACGTGCTGATAAGAGCGACAATAAAAGTATCATGCTTAAAATAAGAAAGATTAATAAAAGCGATATATATATATATATATATATATATATAATATATATAATAGGTGTATATACATATATATATATATACACACAGACACACACACACACACACACATACAGTATGTCCCGCTATTACCGCATTATCTTTGAAGGGCGGATTCCTGAGGTAATTTGAATAAAAAAATCCTAATGCAAAAATGGCGAGGCTATAATACTTTTTAAATTATAAACGATTAAAGTTGACCATTTATACTGGCTAAAATACACGCGCTTAGGTACGGTACAACACACAATGGTACAAATGCATGCATATGTCGTCTCTTTTCCAAATATTGATACGGAAGTTCCATATATACAACAACGTATGTAATAATAATCTGCCTTTTCTATCATTTAAATAAGTATATCGCAAATAATAACAGTTTCGTCAAAATGTTACGAATAAAATATCACACAATATATTTATGAGAATCAATAAGCTGTCACATTTGACGTTTCTTTCAGAAATTTATAACTAATTTCATATCTTATGCAAATTCTCACTTATGTGCATGCAATGTACCATTGTATGTTGTATCGTATCTGAGCACGCGTACTTTAGCCAATATAACTGCTCAACTTTAATTGTTTATAATTTGAGAAGTATTGTAGCTTCGACATTTTTGCATTAGGATTTTTTTTCAAATTACCTCAGGAATCCGTCCTTAAGAGATAATGCGGTAGAGGAGAGACACCCTATATATGTGCGTGTGTGTGTGTGTATATGTATTATAATTGACATGATTAGGTAATACCGCGGGCGCGTAAGTCTGACGAAACGAAAGGAATAAATTTCACCGTCAGAGTATTTCGACGGAATAATAGGCATGTACATAGAAATGTTGAAGAAACACGTAAGGTATTTAATCCAATGCAGACTTGCTGGATCGAGCGAAATTTGTTCCGCTGATTTTTTCCGAGAGAGCGATTTTGCGAAGTAAATACGTCAAAGGCCGAAACTGAAAATGTGTAGCGTGGAAATATTATGCAGAGTTATATACATATGCATACATATATATATATATATATATATATATATATATATAT